CCACTCGTGTTTTTCTCCTCCCAGCAAGTGAATGTAGCAGACAGGGTGGATGCAGACTCTAGAAACTAAAGAGCAGAGCTGTTGCTGGTGAGATAGAACACCATCGAAATAGGCAAGTTTTGAGGTCTGTATGGAGATGAGAGTGGGATCAAGAAATTGGATTGAAAGTTTTGGTGGTGAGGCTGGAACTAAACATATGAGTCCCAGAGCCAGAATAGAGTGCAGGGTTGCTTCAGGAGTGTTATTCTGGTCTGATGATACTGTCTTCTCAGCCTGCTGGAAGGGGAAAGCTTTGCACCTTGGGACCCTTGCAAAATCTTGGCCACTGTGGTTCTGTGGGAGTTTTGACTGTGAATACCCCTACCTGCACTTGCCAACTTGCTCTCTGGAATAGCAGTGGGCATCACATAAGGCAGGAGGTAGAAACCGTGCCTTTCCTCTAGCCTGAAGGGCACCCACACACTGGAGACATTCAACCAGTACTTATTCTGGGAATGAAGCCAGTACTCTTATAAAAAAAATTCCCACATAAATCACTTATCCAAACTTACCTTGTCTTTGCCTGTGTACTAGTTTCTGAAGCTTTCTATAAGTGTGTAAGAATTTGGGAAGCATTCAACCTGTGGTGTTGCCAAATGCAAGTTAGCTGGCAGAATTGGGATCAAAAGAGTGGAACAAGTTGCTGTGTTCAGTGCCATGAGAAGATGAGCAGGTCATCCCCTAATCCTGTCTGGAGTAATATCAGGGCTGCACACCTAACTTAGCCTATCCCTTCACTCCATTTGTGTCTGCTGGGTTTTTAAGTGCAAGTTCAAGAAGGGATCAACAGGATCTACAGAGCAATTATAATATATTATTATAACAGGCAATACATTGCATAGCTAAGTGATGTATTTTCCAAATCCTCGAGCATCAGCTCTTCTTGAGATCACTGTATTGACTGCTCTAGTTGTTTTTACCTCTCTGCCTAAATGAGAGGTAATAGTACCTTTTTTTCTCTGCTGCTATAGCCCTGGGAATGCCAACAGGGAAAAACTGAGGTGCCTCATAATATGCTTGGGTTCCTTATTAAAGGTCTTCCAAGACAGGAACACAGGTAATGCATGTTCCTTAATGCCAGTTTAACCAGCCCTTGTGCTCTCCAGATCTGCCTGCAGTGATGGCCTTTTCTGTGCTCCACCAGTGGGTCTGCTCTGAGTGCAGTATTGAAATATGCTCCTCTACCCCATCCACTCCAAAGTCACCCTCACTGGCCACGCTTCAGGAGCAGACTGAAGTGCCCATGCTGTAGATGCTGGAGCTATTGAATTCCCACCTGCTGCTTGAGGAACCTTTAACCTGATCTTTGAAGGAACCAGGGATCCTGGCACAGCAGGTTGCCCATTGCTGTGCACTGATGCTTGTAAAGGTGAAGGAGGCATCACTTGCTTGGCTCTGCAGGAGCCTGCTCCTTCTTGGTCAAAAGAAAGTGCTCCTGCAGCAAATGGAGATGGAGACTAACTTGTGTCAGGGCTGCAAACTGAGATGGGTAGTCCTCACAGGTGGCACGTGGTATCCCGTATACTGAGAACTAAGTCCACTTCCAGTCCTGTGGCCTCTGTTCCTGCTGTCTCTTCCCCCTTGCTCACCTGCACACGCTCTCTTGCCACCAGGAGCTTGCATTGTGTTGAGAGGAAAGCTTTGGGTACAGAAGACACAGTTCCTGCTATATTGTTCTAAAATAGGAGGGTGCAAGGTGAAAGGAATAGACACAGCACTGCAGAGGTGTATAGTCTGTCTCAAGACTGTGACAATAAGCTTTGTCCTGCTAATTTCTCTCAGGAGTCTTATCTATACTTTTGTGTGCTCACCCCTTCTGCCCTGAAATTCCTCTCATTACCTCACTGTAAGCAATCTGTTGTCTCACTCTTTACTCTGAATTGAGAAATCTTTCACTTTTTTAGAGTAGTCACTGTCTACTCTAGATGTTACTGTGGATACTTCTAAAATTCCTACCACCCAGGGACAGAAAATCTTACACTGAGCTGAAGAATGTTTTGCTGATGGTACTGCTCTTGACACTGGACGATGCCATCAGGTGCTAGAGTGACAGGACCAAGATGAAAGCCTAAGATAACCTTAGGGACTGATTCCACTCACACCACCTGAGACTGAAGGAGATTCATTGGGGAGAGTGTAACTGGAAGTGGGAGTCAGCCCAGCACCTCTGCCATAGTACAGACATGAGCAGTCACTTACTGTGTGTGGACTCAGAGCAGCAACCCTTGCCTGGCTGAAGTCTGGCCCATTACTTCATTTGGGTGAGCAATCCCTTTCATTTCTCTTCAGCCTTGCAAAGTCTTGGTTGCTGCTCCCTTTGGCCAGGCTTCTTCCAAGCTCCTATCAGTATTGTTGAGAGCAGCTTTTCTACTGCTGGAAGAGGGACAAACCAGCCTGACAAAAAAACTGCTCTCTCTGCTCTTTGCCTATGAGACAATGTACAGGCCAGCTGCATGGGAGGAACCCTATGGCTCCTTGGCAAAGGCATTAAGGGAGGACATAAAGAAGGGCTGAGTAGCTGTGTACTTTTGAGAGCACCAGAAGAGCTGCTCCTCAGCTTTTCCTAGGCTGTACTTGTGGCCGGAATGTTTGGCCCGTGTCGTGGTGGCCCTGTGTCCGTGCCACAGACAGTGTCTGGCACACACTGGCTAGCACCTACCTGAGACTAACGTGCCAATGTATGGAGCTACCACCAAACTGTCTTGTTTTAATGAGGGTCAGGGGTACAGCCCTGCCATTGATCCAGTGACATGAAGTGTGCATTTACCATCCAGAACCCCTCTGCCAGCTCTTCTGGTGTTTATTCAGTGATGTTTTCCAAAAAGCAAAATCCCTGCTTTATTTTCTGAAGTGGTTTTATTGTCTCAGTTGTATGAATTTTGGACATTCCATCCTACATGCCACAGATTTCTTTGCAGAGGGGTAAGAATTTCCCTGCTTTGCACTGGATCACTTTGTAGCTGGCCTCCCCCTACCCACTCCATCTCCTCATCCTGTTTTTACTGCTGGAATGTAAGAGGAATAGCACAATGCTTTGGGAAGCAGCAGCCACAGATCCTGCCTTGTTCTTGATCATCCAACTGTCTAGCACAGTATGGGTTCACCTGTCCAGGATTTAATGTAACATAGAGGAGGAGATGGGGAACTGCAGAAGGAGGTATAACAGGAAAGCGAAATGCCAGTTGGAGCCAAGCTGTGTGGTCCCCTAGGCAGTGAGAGATGTGTGAGAACACCTTGTGAGTCAGAATTCAAATGGACAGTGCTCCTCAGCTCTCTATTCTACCTCTTGCAATTGTGACAGTGTGCAGGTGAGACTTGCCGTGGTATTTCTCATTTCTTGGACTTCAGTTCTTTGCCTTTTTGCATTCTCCCTGATCTGGTTTTGACAGTGATAGCCCAAGAATGTTACCACTTAACTGCTTTACTAGCTGTGTGTGTTTGAAGAAATATGGTCATGGGAGTACCCACACTATCCATAAACTCTTAAGTCTGCTGTTCTTCCCCTCTCTTCCATATAATTTGTCTTCAGAATCTGGACAAGGAAATTCAATGAAGTCTGCCCTCATCAATGCAGAATTACTCCCTATAGTTCATACTCTCATGTTTGGCCCAGTCTGGGGCTTTCATTGTTTCCAAGGGATAACTCCACAAGCAGATTTGTCTTGCAGCCAAGGATTGTTCCCTCATCCTCAGTCTGAATTCTCCCTTTCATAACTTCCTGCTGTTATTTCTGCATCAGTTTGTGCTCCAGCCTGGCATGTGCCAGTTAAGTGCTGCAGCAACAAAATGTTTTCACTAGCCCATGAGGCCAAGGAAGCTCTTGGGGATTTCACCAGCACTGTGCAGAGCAACAGGCTCTTCTCATATTCCAGAGTCATGTGTGTGCAGGCCACCACACACCAGAACCATTTGGGAAATGGTCAAGCACAGCTGCAGATCAGACGTCTATCCTTGCTTTCAGGAATGGAAACCTGAACAGCTCAGCAGTTTTCTTTCCAGCATGGAGGTTGTTGCATGGATAGTGTGCACTAACACTGTCCAGAACAGTCACTGAGTTCAAGCCAGCATCTAGATATTCTTTTAGTGTGAATATAGCACTCATTTTCTTATGGTGGGTCCAAAATATTGGTTAAAGCACAACACTGTGGAGTTGTTCCCTTTCCAAGAGGACTAAGGGATGTCACCGGTTCCTTGAGTCTGGTCTCTGTCAGCAAGAGGTGCTGTGGATTATGGAGTACTTGACTTTGAGTGCTCAGCTGCCACTCCATTTCCAGCTTCCTACTGGAAGAACAGAACTTGGCTCACAAAATATCCAATCCCTCCTCCATCACCTGATCTGAGGGAGTTGCTATGTGCTAGGAAAGAAGTCGGTTCCTTATGAACTCCTCATGAATTACAAAGTTCTCAAGCTCTGTGGACACCTCATCCCTGGGAGCAGAGTCTGGTTTCACTGCTATCAGCATTTCACTCCAGCAGCATGTGGTTTCTCTCATCCGCATGGAAACTGTGCTGTGCATAGTATGTGAATTTAAAAGCAAAGAGCCAGGGTGGCTGCAGGTGAGCAAAGCCAAGAGGTGTCATGGGAAAGGATATGGCAGGCAGGAGGCAGTCTTGCCAGCACTTTGATCGAGTGTTTCCTGCAGTCTGTGGCCCTCTGCCTTCTGCTCTTCATCCAAACAAAAGCCAGAGTGAAGAAGTTCATTGAGGGTTCAGCATTTCAGCCTTGAACGGCACCAACACGGCCTTTGCTTGGGCTGCGTGCAGGACTGCAGCTGCCCCATGAGCAGGTCATTGCCCTTACCTAGCCCTGGGCCCACCCCTAGGTGTTAAGCAGCAGCTTCTGAGTGGAAAGGCTTTGGGGCCTTCCTGCCCACTGAATAAAATCCTTGGAAATGGACTTCCACATGCCACGGAGATTTCAGGTGATTGAAATGACTGCAGGTGAATAACCACAGTTGTTTCCGTCCTGTTGTGTATCTTGTCTTTTCCCATCAGGGAAATTCCCATCACACTTTATCCAAACTACTCATTTGTGCAGCTGGAGTCCAGAGATTCTGGTTCTTGCCCAGGATCCTGCTCTGCTCAAGGGGGCAAGCAGAGCTGAGTTGCCGGTCCCTGAGATTGGCAGTTCTGTCCCCCTTTGTCCAGAGTGAGAGCTCTGCACACCAAAATGTTAGAAGACTGTGGACCAGATGCATTTGGCATCTACATGGAGGCTTTGTCCTGACAACCCTCAGCTGGCTGAGAAAATTCAGACCATCTGCCAGTGTGTGTTTGTAGGTTATTATAAAAACTCCCCAAGACAAACTGTGTGGTTGGATGCAATGGAAACTTGGATGACTTGGCTAGAAAAGAGGTAGGCTACCTTACATGGACAGCAGAGTTTGCAGAAAAGTCCTGTGTGCTGGGCTTTGAAGGTGTCATCTGTGAGTTTTGTGGATTATTTTCACTCTCAGGGGAAAAAAAAAAAAAAAGGAAACTGTGGAACAGTAGGAACTGGGGTTAGTCAAAGAGGAAAAGGGACTTTGTAGACTGACTGCTCTCAGGCATCAGGCTTTTGCCACTGCTGAATCAAGGTTTAAAAAAAAAAAAGGCAGCAAACAAAATAGGATAAGTTTGAGTTTGGGACAAAGCAAGTATTAAAAGCGCTAAAAGCAAATGTGCTCCAGGAAGGGAAAGCGTCCAAATGTCTGTTTCAGCTAACAATGAAAAGCCCCAGCCTGCAGTCCCCAAAGGAAGCCAAAAGCCTGGACCAGAGGGCTGGATTAGACCTGCTCAAAAGAGAAATAACAAAAGCTTTAAAATCAGGCCATTACTAAATCCTTCTTCCTATGCAGAATTGGGGTGTGCACTTCCAGCCCCCACACCAAAACAGAGGGATTTCTTAAAAAGCCACTGTCTATCTAAACCTGCATACAGCATTGATGTGTATCTCACATTCACACATTCACTTCTCTCCCAGTGAGATCATTTATTATCACGGGAGCACTTTCCCGTAAGCATGTGGACATGTGACCAGAACTGCACTTGGCACACTGATGCATTAAAAGAATTTGGGATTTTTTTCCCTCCCTCGCTGTAAGAGCAGTCTTGCGATACCAAAACTTGTGCTACAGCCCTTCCCCTGCAGCCAGAGGAGTATGAAAAGAAGGACTTAACCCCATGTGCCCATCTAATACCCCTGCAGCTTCTCCCAAAGGAGCTGCATCGCCCTGGCTCTTTGCCAGATGCCCAACTGGGAACCTGCACTTGGTCTTTCTGAACTCCCCCTGCATGTGAAATGAGAGACAGGACTGAGTCTCTCCTACTTCCTGTCCTCATGTTATGTAAGGGATTCCACTAATGCACTAGCATAACATTAAAGGTCAAAAGGGACTCATTTAGTGCACGCATAGGAGAACAAGTGGCTGGATCTTGCTCTGTGCTGTCTCCCAGTTCCTTCCTGCTGTTGCTTCTAGGTGGCTTAACTATCATCAAACTCCTCAAAGCAAAAGCGATGCGTTTTGGAAGTGGCTTCGTTTCAGTGGCAGGAACCTCCAAATGTGATTCATTTCTCAATTTGTGCTGTTTGGGATTGCTAAGGATGAAAAGCACTAGGGAAACAGGCTGCTGTTACATAGTCTGTAGCTGCCTGGCATAGCAAGCTTTCTTTGTAGTTCTCAGGAATGTCCTAAATGCCTTCAAACAAATGCATTGCATGATCTCTGTCCAAAGTTCTTAGTATCTCAAATTTGCACGATGCAAATAAAGGTAGCAGAGCTGTTTGGGGAGAGGATGACTGATTGAGGCTACGTTAAGACCACAGGATTACTCAACAGAGGCATGCAAACATCACTGGACAAAGTTTATCGGTCTGTTCCAAATTCTAATTTGTTGGAGCATTGTTTGTGCAGATTATGCTAGGGTTTTACTTTGGATCTTTATTGTCTGAAAAGACTCCTCTTTCTCTATGGACCTCTATTCCTCGCTCTACTGGTAGCAAAAGATTTAAAGCCTAACAAAACTCCAGGCCACCCAGCCACAGGGTAAGATTTCCAGTAAGTGTTTCTGGATCTGAAATCCCCTGCCTGTTCGCAACGCCAAGTCTAAAACTTCAAATGGTGAAAAGCAGAGGAGATTTGCCAGACGTTGCTCTTCACAGAGTTTTGTAGTTAGGATGATAATTCCATTCTAGTACCTCTTACACTGTAGGTTCTGACTTCCAGCACCAGCAAGCTTCGGTAGTATTGTACAGAGAACACTAAAGCAAATTTGGATATATGGAAATACAAGAGCAGGCCAGAAACTGATCCTGTGCAGAAGAAATAACCAGTTATCCACTGAAAGTAAACTAATCCCCTTTTACAGATGCTGTTTCTCGGAGAGTTTAGCTTTTGTAACTGGTTTACCTTATTGAGGCTGGCTGTTGAAGTAACACCTCCCATAGAGGCTGGTTGCATTCAGTCTTGGGCTCAGTTGCAATGAAGGGATTTAGCACTGCAGTTTAGCTACAGGTGGACAACTTCCCAGAAGCCTGGAGACTACACCTGATTTGTTTTGCTAGACTGGAACTCAAGCAGGTGCCAGTGGGTTCAGTACAGAGGTGCAGCTCAAATGTTCCAAAGCAAATGACAATTCCTTTCCAGTGGTCCCTTCTGAACTGAGGGAGCTCTGCTCATAGTTATTCCTTTTGTACAGAGGCAGGTGGGGAGGCAACAGCTGCAGTGCCTGCTCCTGCTTCAGCTGGAACCTTTTCTCAGTGATCAAACTGAAATGGTTTTGTGTTGTTTTGACAGGTATCTGACCCGCTGGTCCGTCAGATCTGCAAAGCCCATCTGGAAGAGGGGCCCTAAGTGGTGCAAAAAACCCTTTCCAGTCGGACACCCTCTGCTGAAGAATAACATCAAATACACACACAAGCCTCTCTGTTTAAACCACTAGTGGCCAGAACTGGCACGGGCAGTGAGCACAGCGGTTTTCCACTGTGCTGCTTTTTTTGCAAGTTTGTCAGTAGCTCAAATTTTTTTATTCTAAAACTGTCATTAGTACTTTATATTGTCTCCAGAAAATAAGCTGCAATCTGCTCTAGGATCTCTAGGAGAACACAAGATTCAGCAAAGCAAAATTCAGTGTGTGGAATGATTTGGAGAAAGGAGAGGGCAAAGACTCTCAAAGCCAGAAAAGATCTGAAGGCTTCTCTTTCAGCTTCTCTCTCATTATGGTGCACAACTGGGTTTTGGAAAGGACATTTCCTTCTTTTTTTCACCAATGAATGTTGATTCCCCATTAATATGTGTTCCAACTGAGATTTGCCTCATTTGGGCTTTTCTACCTGTGACACCAATAGAAGAAAAGTCTCCTGCAGCACTATGTTTTGTTGACAGTAAGAGAGATTGTTAATGGCTACTGAAATCCATTTTTTTACTGTGCTATCCATCATTTGCAGCAGAACACTTGTGGTGGTGGTGGACAGGCACGTGTGCATCTTATGTGTTCTTTTATGGTTTTGCTGGCTTGTGCTTCACTCTTGGATCTAACAAATACAGAATGTTGACATCCTTGATGACTTAGCCTGTTATTTTTCCCTTGCAAATACACTTGCCACAAGTCTTCCATGTCAGTGATGTGGCTTCTTCTTGGGATAGTTGGGGGCTGATAGATGTGTGCAATTTTCCATCGTGTAAGTAAAAGGTGGCACCATTTCTCTCCCTGTACAGCACCTTCCACTTACTGACCACTGCTATTGAGAAGTGCTCCTTACAGGCTTTGTATTAAAGACCCATTAATTTTATCAGGGTCATTATTGCTTTGGCTCTTTGGTATTTATCTGGGGGCTATAAATCCAATCAGCTTTTTTGTGTACTACTGTGCCACTTAACCTTGTATTGCTTTCATCAGAATCATCTGCTAATAATCCATCAGCATGGACAGTAACAAAGGGTAACGATGATCCCATAGAACCCAGGAAAACAAATTAGATTATAACAGTTCTTTTTAGCCTTGGGTTGTGAAGTGGAAGCCCTACATTTAGCCTCTTGAGCTGGCCAAGATCTTTTTGCTTTGGAAGATGGAGCCTAGATTTCATTAACTATACTGAGATAAAATCACTGGCTGACCACCTCTATTTTATGAAGCTTTGAAGCCTACAGTCCTTCAGAAAGGGAAGTATTTTTCTTCTGTGTACAGAAGTAACTGTGTCTTCTAGCCCAGGTAGTTCTGTTCAGTGAGCTTTACTAGTTAAAAAGTCACTGGATTAAACCATTGCCTTGAGATGAACCTGAAGAGCACATTTTGCAGAAGACCAGGTGATGCCCACAATTAGTTTTTTTCTTTCTACAGCTTAGTGCTGGTGAGCTGGAAAGACCTCTATAATCTTGGTGTAACCTAACATCTGAAAAACAAAATACTCTCTTCAGTATGCCTTTCTAGAGTTCAGGGTTTAGTACAGATGCCTTACAGTATGCGTCAGCTTTCTACTCTGACTCCAACTCTATTTTTGTTTGTCATTGATGGGTGACAGCAGGTATTCATTCATGTTGTCTCCAAATTAGTTTTTGTGTAAGCTTGGTGTCTTTGTAATCAGACAGATGGCCTAGGTTTGATTTCTGACCTAGGGCTTTGCCTGTCATGGAAGAAAATGCCATTTGGTACTTTCTAAAGGACCTGCAGTGACACACTACAGGGAATTCAATCTGGAGTTGAGGGAGGATCACACACTGTGAAGTCCTAGGAAAAGTCAGAGTCCAGGGACAAAAAAAAAATTTCACTCAAAGTGCAGAAGTTCCACACATTTATTAGAACAAATATTAAACAAAAATCTCCTAAGTATAAAATCTAAAGTGTTCTTCGAGTCCTCGTCTGAGACAGAAGAGTCACAGCATGAAGGGCAGATCAAAATTCTTCTCACCAGTGCCAAAGTAGACGTAGCCGTACTGCTTGGTCGCTGGGACATGGTAGAAGGTCAGTCCCAGCCAGAGCAGGCTCCGCAGCACCACCACCGTGCCTCCCTTCTCCAGCTGGACAGTCCAGGAGCCTGGGGGAGAACAGGCGCTGCTGAGTCACGGGGAAGGAGAAAGAGGCAAGGCTCCTGGAGCAAGGAGCAAGCTGTGCCTGCCCTGGGGGGGACTCCGTGGGCTCTGCCCGACCGGTTAACAGCACACAGGGCTGCACTGGAGTGTGTGACACCTGCAAGGAGGGATGTTAGGAAGACCAGAAACCTCAATGCCTTTGTTGCTTTTGTCAGTTCAGCATTACAGCCTGCCCTTGTTTCCAGACATCTGCATCTAGGTTCACACAGTAGCATATTCCCATGGCTAGGAGGGTGATGTCATATGCGTCACAGGAAGGGACCCCCGGAGCTCCAGACTTGTATACTTGATTCCTAGGAGAGGCTACAGCTATTCTTGGCTGCTTCTGAGTGGGCAGCAGTTACTCTAGCAAGCTCTGCTACCTACTTGGTCTAGCTAATAGCTATAGAGAGCCAAGACCAGCTCTACCAATCCCACGTAGGTATGTAATTTCTTCTTAAAATAAACTTGTAGTGTTAGTTAGAGGAAAGAAGAAAAAGGTGCCTTCCTGCTCCAAGGAAAGCTGGTTTCCCTAATGCAGCAACTGGGAAAGAAGAAGAAGAGCATGTGAAAAGCAGTGTATTTCCTATCTTGAAAAAAAAATTGCAGAAAAGGTTAATTCTCTTCAGTCTTTCTTGGCTCCACCAATGAAGAGGATGTGTGTTGTAGGGGCAAAGGGATTAGTTTCTGCATTAATTTTGCTTTGGCTCTGCAGAGGAGGTTCAGAGCCAGTGTGAAAATGCAATTTCTCCAGGATGCACTGAGTATTTGTTTTGCATCTTGACAGGACAGCCTGGGAACAATGCCAGAGGGGAGGGGGCTGGAGCATCAACTTGGAGGGCAAGGAGCTGCTAGGAGAAAAGAATATCAGCTTCGGCACAAAGTCAGTAATGCCTAGAGGCTGCAACGTAGGGAAGAAGGTTCCGGCTGAATCTCCATCTAAAAGCAAAAGCAGCAGGCCCAAAGGAAAAAAAAAAAATGCAGTTGGAGCTGTCAGGCTACTACTGGCTTGGAGTCAAGCCGTCAGCCTATTTTCACCCAAAGCCAAAATCTGCCAGTTCCAGAGGAAGCAGAAAGCCCATAATGTGTTGGGCCAGCTAGATGGTATTCATCTTTGTAGATAATTTTAGGCTCATCAACTTACGGTGTGACTCATGCTTACTCATGTCATGGTTAGCCTGGGGAAGGGCTTCTGTGATTGCTGTCAGCTGCCAGACCTCCCCCTCCCACTAACTTCTCCTTGTCGGCCAATTTTAGTCACATCCCACAAAGGACTGAAGGGCTTTAACACCGCAAGTTCCTGCAACAGGTCTCCACAGGATGTGGCCCAAGGGTTGAGTGCAGCTCCTGAGGCTGTTTGGTGTGGCAGCAGCGGGGAGGAAGCAGGGGCTGTGTGCCTTGCCTGGCAGCCCAGAGGCAGCTGGCGTTTGTGGAGCCCTTGCACACAGGACAGGTGGTCTCTTACACACGTCACAGCAAACTACAGTAGCTGAGGGCTTGAGGGAGGAGGAAATGGAGGGAAAACATATTATGTGGTGGCTGCAGAATCAGAAAGGAACAAAGGAATTCAAAGCCCCATAAAACCAGGTGTCATGAGTGGTGCTGCTCACCTGTTACCTCTCTCTTCTCTCTGTCTACTTTTCAAAAGTTTCTGGGACACCATTGTTCCCTCTGTCTCCTTCAGCAGCAAGTTCCACAGGTTTGTTACACCATAATAAGCACAACAGAAGTCCTGTGTCATCTTTGATCTGTTACCTTTCAAAGTACTCTCTTCAGTTATGTGCAAACATGGAACTAAATGAACAGCAAGAACGCCTACCTTATGTGACAGTCATCAAACTTTCTGGCAAACTGACTCTGGCTGCAGGACAGAAGTACAAACACAGAGTCTTTGAAAGACTTGGGAGACTTCT